AGTGGAATAGATAATAAACAAAAGTGAAATAACCAATCAAAAATGAACAGTAAACATTACATTTCAAAGGAATAGAGACATTTAAGAAATGTCATATTCTGGCTATGTACAGTGTTGTAATAATGTGCAAATAGTACAAAGGGGAAATATTTACAATGGTGTTTGTTCTTCACTGGTTGCGCTTTTCTTGTGGCAACAAGGTCACAAATATTGCTGCTGTGATATTTGTTTTTTGATTTGTTTTCAAATTCTTTGTGGATCTGTGTAATCAGAGGGAAATATGTGTCTCTAATATGGTCATACATTTGGCAGGAGGTTAGGAAGTGCAGCTCAGTTTCCACCTCATTTTGTGGGCAGTGTGCACATAGCCTGTCTTCTCTTGAGAGCCAGGTCTGCCTACGGCGGCCTTTCTCAATAGCAAGGCTATGCTCACTGAGTCTGTACATAGTCAAAGTATTCCTTAATTTTGGGTCAGTCACAGTGGTCAGGTATTCTGCCACTGTGTACTCTCTGTTTAGGGCCAGATAGCATTCTAGTTTGCTCTGTTTTTTGGTTAGTTCTTTCCAATGTGTCAAGTAATTCTCTTTTTGTTTTCTCATGATTTGGTTGGGTCTAATTGTGTTGTTGTCCTGGGGCTCTGTGGGGTCTGTTTGTGTTTGTGAACAGAGCCCAGGACCAGCTTGCTTAGGGGACTCTTCTCCAGGTTCATCTCTCTGTAGGTGAGGGCTTTGTTATGGAAGGTTTGGGAATAGCTTCCTTTTAAGTGTTTTTTTTAAAAGCTCTTTTCTGGTTTTTGATAATTAGTGGGTAAAGGCCTAATTCTACTAACCTCTCTGTCTCTCCTCTCTCTCTCCCTCTCTCTCTCTCTGACCTGTCCTCTTGCCAGCCCCTCTCTCTGCCTCTCCTCTCCTCTCTCTGACCTGTCCTCTTGCCAGCCCCTATCTCTGCCTCTCCTCTCTCTCCCTCTGTATTGACTATCTGCTACATGGAGGCTGATCACTAATTTCACTGTAAATAAATGACTAGGAGTTATTCATTAGCAGCTACACTGAACAGAAATATAAACTCAACATGTAAGGTGAAGGTCCCATATTCCATGAGCTGAAATAAAATATCCCAGAAATGTTCCATATGCACAAAAAGCTTATTTCTCTCAAATGATGTGCACACATTTGTTTACTTCCCTGTTAGTGAGCATTTCTCCTTTGCCAAGATAATCCATCCACCTGACAGGTGTGGCATATCAACAAGCTTATTAAACATCATGATCATTACACAGGTGCACCTTGTGCTGGGGACAATAAAAGGCCACTCTAAAATGTGCAGTTTTGACACACATAACGATGTCACAGATGTCTCAAGTTTTGAGGGAGCGTGCAATTGGCATGCTGACTGCAGGAATGTCCACCAGAGATGTTGCCAGATAATTGAATGTTCATTTCTCTACCATAAGCCGCCTCCAACTTCGTTTTAGAGAATTCGGCAGTACGTCCTACCAGCCACACAACCGTAGACCACGTGTAACCACGCCAGCCCAGGACCTCCACAACCGCAGACCACGTGTAACCACGCCAGCCCAGGACCTCCACATCCGGCTTCTTCACCTGCAGGACCGTCAGAGACCAGCCACCTGGACAGCTGATGATACTGTGTTTTTTTTTTGGGGGGGGAAAAACTCATTTTGATTGGCTGGGCCTGGCTCCCCAGTGGGTGGGCCCAGTCATATGAAATCCATAGATTAGGGCCTAATTAATTTAATTCAATTGACTGATTTCCTTATATGAACTGTAATCTTTTTTTTTGTTGTCATTTAGCAGACGCTCTTATCCATTAGGGTTAAGTGCCTTGCTCAAGGGCACATCGACAGATTTTTCAACTAGTCGTGCTCGGGGATTAGAACCAGCGACCTTTCGGTTACTGGCACAACGCTCTTAACCACTAAGCTACCTGCCGCCCCCATGTTGCATTTATACTTTTTGTTCAGTATAACATGGTTTAAAAAGAACGCAGGACTATTAACAATCTGATGAACATTGCAGAAGATAAGTTCATTGGGTCGGAGTGGATGCAGTACATCAAAGAATCACTGGCGGAGTCTATTTAAATTATTTGCAGATCTATTCCCTATTATTTACAAAGATCTAAAAGTTATTTTCTGCCATTAAATTGGGTTCTCAGTGGTCACCGTCCACGATGCTGAAATCCCTGATCATGTCACAGTCTGAACAACAGTACGTAGATTATATTAGCACTCAAAATAAACTGTCGCTTCTAAATACTACTATTATGTTTTATTTAATAATACTGTGTCTTTCTCTTTTGAAGGATAAACAAACAGGTCCAGCGCTAGTCTGTATGGTCTCTGTAGCCTATCACCATCAGACAGCCCACGCTATAGGCAAAACACGGGATGCCTGCAAGAGGGGGACAGAAAACACGGGACAACAATTTGTTTTGAGTTGCACGCTGCAGTAGATTGTAGAATATAGCGCTGATGAAAGGGTTAATGCACAAGATTCATGACAGCATTGTGGAACAAAGGAACATGATATTAAGAATAAATGAACAACTAGTTAACTGACAACTAGATTAAACATATTATATTAAAGCTGCAATATGTCACTTTTTGGGCGACCCGACCAAATTCACATAGAAAAGTTAGTTATAGATCTGTCATTCTCATTGAAAGCAAGTCTAAGAAGCGGTAGATCTGTTCTATGTGCGCTATTTCTTTGCTTCCCGTTCTTACGTTTTGTTTTCGCGTCTTTTACTTTTGGTTTTGTACACCAGCTTCACATAGCTGAAAATACAATATTGAAATTAGACAAACTATTAGAATTATAGCAACTAGGAAATGGCGGAGCGATTTCTGCATATTGCACCTTTAGTCTCCCCTTGGCTTTTTCCCACAGACCTAAACGTATGACTTTAAACACGCTGAAGAACTTGTCCTCAAAGTCTAGGTACTGTGGTGGTGGTTTGGAGCAGTGGTACTTGATAAAGAGGAAGCAGCCCATCCTCAGCATCCGGTAGTTGACTCCCTGTCCCGCCCAGTAGAAGTTGGACCGTCTAAACTGGTCGTTGGTGACGGCACTGTAGCGGACACAGAAGGAGGTGCAGGGAGGGAGGTTCCGCTGCAGCAGGAGCCTGCAGGAGGCAGTTGTCCTTTCCTCCGTGGTGCCTCGGTGAAACAGGGCAACTTTGACGAAGATGTTGTGTATACGCCGGCAGACTTCTTTCATGCTATGGATCACAGCTATTAACTAGCTAGCTACCCTTATGGCACCGGCATAATGTTAGGCCAGGGGGGATAAAGTGTGGATGTTCTTCAAAGAACGGCAGCTGTAAAGACCACTACGCCCACCTAGCTAGCGCTAGTTAGCTAGCTAGCTTGTCAACACAGCAGTACGAGCCAAACAGTTCTGTTATTATATTTGGCAAACGGAAGAGAAAAAACGGCAAGTCCGTTCTGTCAGAGTTTGGAAAACCTTTTGTCGATCAGCTTTCTACTCAAGGTTAGTGCTATCCGAGATCCTTGGGACCTCCCCTGCTATCCGAGATCCTTGGGACCTACCCCTGCTATCCGAGATCCTTGGGACCTACCCCTGCTATCCGAGATCCTTGGGACCTACCCCTGCTATCCGAGATCCTTGGGATCTACCCCTAAACCCTAATGCCTCGATCAGACGGACAGCATCGAGGCCGCATAATAAATACTGCAGTCAAACCTTTTCATGATGTAATCCAGCATGTTTAGTGGATATGTGTTCAACAACAGTTCCAACATTCACCTTCTGCTACTATTTCCGTTAAATCTACACATACAACTTGATGCCTACGTTGGGTTAAATCCAATGTATGCACCACAAAGAACGCCCTGCAACTGCCTCCGCAACGCAACGCTGCAAGGCAAACACAGCGTTCCATTGGGGGAAATGAAGCTATTTCTGGTGTAAAAACGCAAAGACACTGCCGGTCTGATCGAGGCCATTTTAATGTCCCAAGGAACTTCAATCAGAGAGGAAGAGGATGACAGAGGCCCAGCAAGGAAAACAATCTGTCTCCCTCCAGCAGGTGCCATTTTGTCGTTGCTTCGTCCACCAAGCAAGGCGTGTTTGTATGGGAGGTCAATGAGAGTGTCAAATTTGGTCAACAAAAAAACTGTATGGCATATTTGCTACCTGAGGTTTATTTGATCAAATAGAAGGTTCGTAATGCTTAACTTGTTGCTAGTGTACTGACATAAGTAGGACATGTGATATTCTGGCAACTTTGAGAAAAAACACTTTATATCGTAGTTGTCTCGAGATGGCTATGCATATTCATGGCATTAGGCTAGTAGCATAGCATCTCTCTCCATTGAATACAGGCGGTTGACGTCAACAACCCTCATCGAATATTCAAAAAAGGATTACAATAACGAGATGTATCCACCAATCCAAAGAAAGGATAGGGGGAGCTAGACAGCCCGCCGTGCTGTTTTGTGGACAACGACTCCCATTGTTAGCTAGACGACTCCCATTGTTAGGGTGAGAGACATTTATCTTGTCAGTATAACCATCATCTTTGCTTCAACTCACCATGTAACTGAACCGGCAATATATTTCATCCGACCACCAACATAGCACAGCAAACTTTAGTTCCTAGCTGAAGGGTGATATTTTCCCATAGTGCTAAGGTCAGTTTTCGATATATTACTCTCTACATTAAATGTATATTTGAATCTATAATAACGTTTGAGTTGCTCTAAATACAACTTTTTCCCCGATCTTTCATACTGTAGCCTAAACACAATTACACACTAACAGAGTTCACAGTTGTTCAGGGATAGAATAATGTATTGCTCCTAGTAACTCCATGAAATACATATAGGGCCTGAAATTATCAGTTGGAATAATTGGCATTAATCTGATCAAAACGGTCGCATTTCTTCCATAAAGTGACTCATTCATCCTAGTAGTGTGGCGGGGGGGGGGGGGGGGGGGGGGGGGGGGGGGGGGTCAGTGATCCAGTTTTGTCCGGGCAGCGACAGCAGCATTCTTCTCTTCTTCCTTGGTCACCTGGGCTTTATTCTGGACTGTCATTCCCAAAACCTTTTCTATGTCCCGAATCAGGTCCTGCAGGTAACACAAGGAAACAAGCTTTACAGTTCACTAACAAACACACTGTCTTGTCTATAGCTTTATCACTCACAACTCAGAGTTGGGTTCAATTCAATTGCAATTCCAGTCAGTTCAGAAAGTAAAAACAAATTCCAATTCCACATTTTCCTTATTGAAAAGCATTGAAGAGAATTGGAATTTCAGTGCACTTCCTGAACCATTAATAAATTGTTCATCAAGTTATAATATGACCCTAATATCATATTGTCACACATCGGCTGTAACTACTTTTTGAGAATGTACCTTAAAGTTAGTCTCTCCCTGCATGTTGGGGGCTGATATCTCCTGATGGATGACGGACAGGTTGCGGGCAAAGGTCAGCAGGGCTCCCTGGAGGTCCTCACCGATGGTTCTGTTAACGACAGAACGGACAAACAACTTTACTAACGATCCCCTCGCTGCCGGGTAAACAAACAATCACCATGTTTGGCTTGTCGTGTGTGTTTCAAGTTTTATTAGTCGTACGTACAGGATACACATGGTGTACACCGTCCAATGAAATGCTTACTTGCAGGTTCCTTCTGGACAATGCAACAACAATAATACATAATAAAAGGTAAGAATACCAATATAAAGTAAATGGATCAGTAGAACAGAATAGACATTTAGCATCAGTATAATCCAGGAAGACAACATTTATAGGCCAATATTTATACATGTTTTGGGGGAAGTGTTTAAAATGTGCAGTATTTAGCAATCATAATAAGAGTCTGGTAGCAGCAGTTATGACGTGTGTGAGTGTCTGTGTGAGTGTGTGTGAGTGTGTGTGTGTGTGTGTGTGCGCATGTGTGCTAAGGTGCAGAGAATCAGAGCAGGTGGTCAGTCCAGTTCAAGTGTTCAGCAGTCTGATGGCTTGTGGATAGAAGCTGTCTCTGAGTCTGTTGGTATCAGACCTCATGCTCCGGTACAGTCTGATGGCTTGTAGATAGAAACTGTCTCTGAGCCTGTTGGTATCAGACCTCATGCTCCGGTACAGTCTGATGGCTTGTAGATAGAAACTGTCTCTGAGCCTGTTGGTATCAGACCTCATGCTCCGGTACCGTCTGGCTGACAGTAAGGGAGTGAACAGCTCGTGGCTGGGGGGGTGTGGGGGGTCCTTGATGATGCTGCGGTACTTCCTCAGGCACCGTTTCAAGTAGATGTCCTGGATGGGTGGGAACATGGTCCCAGTGATGAATTCGACTGGGCCAGCACAGTGGTCCAAATTATGGGGGGCTAGAAAGTTGAGCAATGCAGGCCGGTCCACTGGTCCATCTCTCCCCCCGGCCCCAGCCCACTGGTCCATCTCTCCCCCGGCCCCGGTCCACTGGTCCATCTCTCCCCCCCGGCCCCAGCCCACTGGTCCATCTCTCCCCCCCGGCCCCAGCCCACTGGTCCATCTCTCCCCCCCGGCCCCAGCCCACTGGTCCATCTCTCCCCCCCGGCCCCAGCCCACTGGTCCATCTCTCCCCCCTGGCCCCAGCCCACTGGTCCATCTCTCCCCCCTGGCCCCAGCCCACTGGTCCTTCTCTCCCCCTGGCCCACTGGTCCATCTCTCCTCCCGGCCCCGGCCCACTGGTCCATCTCTCCCCCCGACCCACTGTTCCATCTCTCCCCCCGGCCTTTTGGTCCATCTCTCCCCCCGGCCCCGGCCCACTGGTCCATCTCTCTCCCCGGCCCACTGTTCCATCTCTCCCCCCGGCCCACTGTTCCATCTCTCCCCCCGGCCCTTTGGTCCATCTTTCCCCCCGGCCCTGGCCCACTGGTCCATCTCTCCCCCCGGCCCCGGCCCACTGGTCCATTAATCCCCCCTGGCCCCAGCCCACTGGTCCATCTCTCCCCCCGGCCCTTTGGTCCATCTCTCCCTCCGGCCCAAGACAGTCGTGAAGAGGGCACGACAACACCTTTTCCCCCTCAGGAGACTGAAAGGATTTGGCATGGGTCCCCAGATCCTCAAAAAGTTATACAACTGCAGCATCGAGAGCATCCTGACCAGTTGCATCACCGCCTGGTATGGCAACTGCTCGTATCTGACCGTAATGCACTGCAGAGGGTAGTGCGTACGGTCCAGTACATCACTGGGGCCAAGCTTCCTGCCATCCAGGACCTCTATACCAGGCGGTGTCAGAGAAAAGCACAAAAAAATGTCAAAGACTCCAGTCACCCAAGTCATAGACTGTTCTCTCTGCTACCGTACAGCAAGCGGTACCGGAGCGCCAAGTCTAGGTCCAAAAGGCTCCTTAACAGCTTCTACCCCCAAGCTATAAGACTGCTGAACAATTAATCAAATGGCCACCCGGACTATTTACATTGACTCCCCCCCTTTGTTTTAACACTGCTGCTAATCGCTGTTTATTATCTATGCATAGTCACTTTACCCCTACCTACATGTACATATTACCTCCACTAACCTGTACCCCTGCACATTGACTCGGTACCGGTACCCTCCTGTACATAGCCTCGGTATTGTTATTTTCTTGTGTTACTTTAGATTTTTAATATTTTTTTTGTTTTACTTTAGTTTATTTAGTAAATATTTTCTTAACTCTATTTGTTGAACTGCATTGTTGGTTAAGGGCTTGTAAGTAAGCATTTCACGGTAAGGTCTACACCTGTTGTATTCGGCGCACGTGACAAATAATGTTGGATTTGATTTGATTTGACAGATAACACAACATCAGTATTGGGTTAGCTAACTAGGCTATCCAACTGTCCCAGTAGCATGATGCCAGCCAGACAGTTTGTTGATTCATGTACATGTCAGCCATTACAGTCATTTCAAGCCCTATTCTACTACATCATATATGATATTTTCATCATATTTTTTATACATCCTTGAGCTTGTGTCTTCAAAAATGTGTACACCTCAGCAATTTATAACTATCTTTACCAGAAAGGTGAGTTCCAGACCTTTCTAGAACTATGCAGCATTACTAGTTATTGTTTATGGCCCTCTCAGGTCAAGTCATCGGTTTTGGGTATGTCTATTTAGGCAGAAAATATACATTTTTACATGACATTCGACAGGTTAATGTTTGTTTGGAGCTCTACTATTTACATGAGTCAGTCCTTGACACAACACAGCCACCTTTTATTAATGACATTGATGATGATTCAGCCTGACTATAAAGCTACTGTTTCCACAATGTTGCTATATGTATCATCTGTAGCTAAAACAACTATACATTTTAGTGCTAAGCTAGAGAAAAGTCAGATGTTGAGAAAACTACTCCACCAGTAAGACCATACTTTCTTCCTTCCCATTATTTTTACTCACAGATTTCTGGTGTCTTGTTTTCCTGGTTCACTGTGCTGTCTGTCGTCATGCTGGCTCCTACTTTACTGTGGGACTTAGTACTGTCTACTACTTTACTGTGGGACTTAGTACTGTCTACTACTTTACTGTGGGACTTAGTACTGCATACTACTTTACTGTGGGACTTAGTACTGACTACTACTTTACTGTGGGACTTAGTACTGCATACTACTTTACTGTGGGACTTAGTACTGACTACTACTTTACTGTGGGACTTAGTACTGACTACTACTTTACTGTGGGACTTAGTACTGACTACTACTTTACTGTAGGACTTAGTACTGCATACTACTTTACTGTGGGACTTAGTACTGACTACTACTTTACTGCGGGACTTAGTACTGACTACTACTTTACTACGGGACTTAGTACTGACTACTACTTTACTGTGGGACTTAGTACTGACTACTACTTTACTGTGGGACTTAGTACTGCATACTACTTTACTGTGGGACTTAGTACTGACTACTACTTTACTGTGGGACTTAGTACTGCATACTACTTTACTGTGGGACTTAGTACTGACTACTACTTTACTGTGGGACTTAGTACTGACTACTACTTTACTGTGGGACTTAGTACTGCATACTACTTTACTGTGGGACTTAGTACTGACTACTACTTTACTGCGGGACTTAGTACTGACTACTACTTTACTGTGGGACTTAGTACTGCATACTACTTTACTGTGGGACTTAGCACTGCATACTACTTTACTGTGGGATTTAGTACTGCATACTACTTTACTGTGGGACTTAGTACTGCATACTACTTTACTGTGGGACTTAGCACTGCATACTACTTTACTGTGGGACTTAGCACTGCAAACTACTTTACTGTGGGACTTAGTACTGAAAACTACTTTACTGTGGGACTTAGCACTGCAAACTACTTTACTGTGGGACTTAGTACTGCAAACTACTTTACTGTGGGACTTAGCACTGCAAACTACTTTACTGTGGGACTTAGCACTGCATACTACTTTACTGTGGGACTTATTACTGCAAACTACTTTACTGTGGGACTTAGTACTGCAAACTACTTTACTGTGGGACTTAGTACTGTCTACTACTTTACTGTGGGACTTAGTACTGCAAACTACTTTACTGTGGGACTTAGTACTGTCTACTACTTTACTGTGGGACTTAGTACTGCAAACTACTTTACTGTGGGACTTAGTACTGTCTACTACTTTACTGTGGGACTTAGTACTGTCTACTACTTTACTGTGGGACTTAGTACTGCAAACTACTTTACTGTGGGACTTAGTACTGTCTACTACTTTACTGTGGGACTTAGTACTGCATACTACTTTACTGTGGGACTTAACACTGGCTATGTTTTCGTCACATGCGTCATAAACACAGGTGTAGACTAAGTGAAATGCTTCCTTCCTTCCCAACAATGCAGAGAGAAGTAAAATAGAGAAATAATAGAACAGTAAAACACGTAATAATAAAATTAATAATAGATACACAATGAGTAAAGATAACTTGGCTATATACAAGGGGGTAGCAGTACTGAGTCGATGTGCAGGGGTACGATGTAATTGAGGTAGATATGTTCATATAACTAAGAGTAAAGTGACAGATACTCAACAGTAGCAGCAACAGCATATGTGATGAGTCAAAAAAGTTAGGGCAAAAAGGGTCAATACATAAAGTCCCGGTAGCTATTTGGTTAACTATTTAAATAACTATTTAGCAGTTTTATGGTTTGGGGGTAGAAGCTGTTCAGGGTCCTGTTGGTTCCAGACTTGGTGCACCGTGCGGTAGCAGAGAGAACAGTCTATGACTTGGGTGACTGGAGTCTTTTACCATTTTTAGCGCCTTCCTCTGACACCGCCTGGTATAGAGGTCCTGGATGGCAGTGAGCTCAGCCCCAGTGATGTACTGGGCTGTACACACTACCCTCTGTAGTGCCTTGCGGTCGGATGCCAAGCAGTTGCCATACCAGGCGGTGATGCAACCAGTCAGGATGCTCTCAATGGTGCAGCTGTAGAACCTTTTGAGGATCTGAGGGGCCATGCCAAATCTTTTCAGCCTCCTGAGGGGGAAGAGGCGTTGTCGTGCCCTCTTCACGACTGTGTTGGTGTGTTTGGACCATGATAGATCCTTAGTGATGTGAACACTGAGAAACTTGAAGCTCTCGACCTGCTCCACTTCAGCCCCGTCGATGTGAATGGGGGTGTACTCGGCCCTCCGTTTCCTGTTGTCCACGATCAGCTCTTTTGTCTTGCTGACTTTGAGGGAGAGGTTGGTGTCCTGGCACCACACTGCCAGGTATCTGACCTCTTCCCTATAGGCTGTCTCATTGTTGTCGGTGATCAGACCTACCACCGTCGTGTCGTCAGCAAACTTAATGATGGTGTTGGAGTCGTCCGCGGCCACGCAGTCGTGGGTGAACAAGGAGTACAGGAGGGGTCTAAGCACGCACCCCTGATGGTCCCCATGTTAAGGGTCAGCGTGGCAGATGTGTTGTTGCCTACTCTCACCACCTGGGGGCGTCCCATCAGGAAGGTGTTCAGTCCCAGGGTCCTTTGCGTAGTGATATACTTGGAGGGCACTACCGCGTTGAACGCTGAGCTGTAGTCAATGAACAGCATTCTCACATAGGTATTCCTCTTATCTAGGTGGGTGAGGGCTAGGCTTGGGCGGTATGCAGATTGTCATACCTTCATACCGACCTTGTGCCATCCCGGGAAACGGTACTACTGGCACTGAACACAAGGGGCGCTATTTTCTAACCCCACTGAGCCTCTGTAATCCGATTGCTAGCAATGTTAACAAGTACTATATATAATCTCACAGCGAATGCTAGCTAAATGCTAACAAGCGCTTGCAGGACAGTTATATAAGTAACTCACAGTTTACTGAACGCACAAAACAAATGATAGCCAGCAAAGATCGTGATCCAGGAGGGGATTCTCTGCTGTTACCAAGAGAAGCTTGATTTTGCAAGAAGCTAACCACTTATCTAGATAACTAGCTATTAAGTTAGCAAACCAAATGTACAACTGCAGAGCATTTACCACACATTTTAGACATTTAACTTAATAGTTATAAGATACTGTATCTAGCTGGCAAACATTTCGTTGTGAATTCCATACTGACACTACACTCTTAGAAAAAAGGTTTTCAAAAGGATTCTTCGGCTGTCCCCATAGGAGAACCGTTTTTGGTTCCAGGTAAAACCCTTTTCGGTTCCCGGTAGAACCATTTTGGGTTCAATGTAAACCCTCTGTGGAAAGGGTTCTACATGGAACCCAAAACGATTCTACTTGGAACCAAAAGGGTTATTCCTGGAACCAACAAGGGTTCTTCAAAGGGTTTTCCTGTGGGGACAGCCGAAAAACCCTTTTAGCTTCTAGACAGCACCTATTTTTCTAAGAGTGTAGATCACCTGGCACGTGCTGCACAACAGT